CAGTGCGGGGAGGCTGAGGCTCGGGGAGACGGAGTCCCCACACCGCGCAGGATACGCAGTGGCGTCCCGGAGCCCGCGGGCTGCCCGGAGTCGTCAGGGCCGCTGACCAGTGCATTCCTGGTGCCGAAGCCCGCACTCGGGAGCGCCTTAGGCCGGCAGAACTTGCCCTCAGGAAACGTCGAGAAGTGGGTGAGGAATGGACATGCCAGCAAGGATCACAAAGTCTTGTTGGGCTTAGTAGAAGCACATGTGGGAGACATGGGGGAGGCGGGACGTTTTTGCCCAGGAGTGGAGGGTGTCCGCGTTTCCTTACTCGCTCCGTTGACCTGTAGGGGGAGACGCGGGGAGGAGCGCGAGCGGTCTGAGAAGCCAGAGTGGCTGTAGCTCCGGGTGGCCCGGAGAGGAAAGACCGCGTGTTTTCATTCCCTGGAGGGAACCTAGATAGCTTTCTTTTTAACGACCGAAGGGCAGTCACACCAGCTCCCCCGGCTGGCGCCGAGGCCGCCCCTTACCCGCTAGTAGCAGAGCGGACTTCGATTTCCGACGTCCCCTCGGTTTTTTCTTGTAAGCATCATGTGCTTTAAAAGCAGAATTTGACGTCTTAGAGAAGTCTTGATTGATCGTCTCGCTGGGACTAGACTTGGAGAATTTTATTTCCGGACTGTAAGTTCTTGAAGTAGTAACCTCCTAACAAATGCAGACATCGCTAGAGCACTCCTCGCCCGCCACGCACGCTACTCGGATCCTCTCGTCTTCGCGGTGACGTCGTGGGTCCCGTCACTGATTGCATTTTATAGAAACTGAGGCACAGAGGGGTTTAACCCATTTTCCGCCTGCAGAAGCTAGGACCCAGCCGGCGGCAGACGGCTTCACCGGCCGCTTCCACAAGCACAGGGCTGCTTGCCAGGAGTCCAGAGACCCCGTGGCGAGAACAAAATCTGAGATGAAGGCTGTGATGTTTTTAGTTACATACTTTGAACCAGTTCTTTATTCAGCCATTTTTCTTTGTCTTTGAAATATCTTCCTATCATCCGGTTTTTCCACATTCATTACTTTCTCTGCTTGCTTTTTTCTTTTACAACGGGGACTTTTTTCTGTTGTTGCTTTGACCCAAGCAACTACCTCCGAATGAGCTGGAAGGAAAGAACTTTGGAGTGTTCTTTGAAGATAAAATTACTTTTGTAAACTAAAACCTTGTCTCTGGAATAGGTGGGCTTACGAAGCAAACTAGCTTAGCTTATGTACAAGATTGATGCTTCCCTTCCTAAGAACGTTTGAGGAGCAGTAAAGATTAGAAGTTGGGGGTGCCTGGGTGGCTCTGTTGGTTAAGCCACTGCCTTCGGGTCAGGTCATGATCCCAGGATCCTGGGATTGAGTCCCGCATCAGGCTCCTTGTCCAGCAGGGAGCCTGCTTCTCCCTCTGCCTGCCTCTCTGCCTGCTTGTGCTCTCTCTGGCTAATAATAAAATCTTAAAAAAAAAAGATTTGAACTAGTTGACTGATACAGTTCTGAGCATTATGGGTTTTATTTTTCTACTGTAGCATTTAGTTTGAGGCATTAGATGTTCCTGAATGTTGGATTTGCCCCATTGTTCTTGTCCTCCTGGGGCGGCCGCTGTGTTCAGATGCTCGTGTCTTCCTACCATGTGTCGTTTGTTCCAGGCTTTAAAAAAACATAGGTAACGGAGATGGATGTGGATGGGCGTGGATACAGTGTGTGTTCTTTTCTCCCTGCCTTGCTTTAGGGAAAAAAATAGAGGCTCCAGCACAGCTGCAAGAATTAGTTTCAGATTTATCTTCTCGGTTTGTCTTCTCACCTCCTGCGTTAAGGACCAGGCGGAAAGCCACATCTAACACATCCAGAGCGGGAGATGAACTGGTAAGAAGTGCAGTTTATTCATATGCTTATTCAAACATGCTCTGTACTCCGTTTCGGCCATGTTTCCTAAATAAACCTCTGGTGAAAGCGCAGAGTTTTAGACCAAAAGCCCCAGATCCCCTTGTCTGCACTTCTGTGGGCCTGCCCTTAGGGTACAGTGTGTCACTGATGGTGTGTTCCTGGCGGCTGCGGTTTAGATGACCCATTAGGGGAAAGGCTTCTAGCTTTCAGTGTCGCCTCAGAAGGACCCGAATGTGTTTATCTAGATTAGAGGTCTGGGGTCCCTGAACTCCCGGGGTATCACGCACACCCCACACCTGGAGAGAGCGTGTTTCAGAGGTGACTGTACCACTTGACTGCACATAACCCTAAAAATCAAAATAGCTCTAGGGCTGAGAGGGAGACAGACCCATATTTTAACATTAATCTTAAACATTTCTTAAACTATCTGCTATGAGCCGGTTACTGTTGAAGGACAAAGACTTACACAGAAATCACTTGGGCAGATTCCTGGTCTTTCAGAAGCTCAGTTTAATTGGGGAGGCTGAAGCACGTAATTGTTTCCCGGTGTGGTGGGAGTCATTTATGCTCAAATAACCCTATAGACAGAAGGTAAAAGGCACCACTGGAAGAGAAAACTGGATCTCAGAGGCACAGAGGCCTGGCAGTACGCAGGGGTGGGGCACTGCTTACAAACGGGTGAACAGCCACGTGCACATTGGAGGAGGTACAAAGTGAATTCTAGGGAGGAAAACTAGTCTCTGGTGGCCTGTTCCTTTACGAGATGATGAGAGCCTGGATGTGGACGGAGGCAGTGGGAACAGGAGGGCAGCAGACAAGGACGTGTTCCACGTGAAACACGCGGGCTTTGGAGATGAACTGGATGTGTGGGGATAGGGCCCTGGATGGCCCTAGATGATCAGAGTTCCTACTAAAGATAAAAGGGGTGCATTTGGGACTTGTGGCGTCTGAATTCACCAGCCCTCATTGGCCATATTCCTTGACTCAGGATAGAACTAATCCAACACGGATTTCAAGTATTTACTTATAGGATTTATCTTCTTAAATTTTTAACTCGTAGAAAGATAGTGCTCCATCAGAAACTGTGGGAAGGCCAAAAGTGAAAACAACCAGGACATCAAAGACAAGACAGACAAGCAGGTATGACCTTTTAGATGCTGTAATTTTTATCCAGAGTCATAAGTTAGAGAAATGAAACTCTTCAGGGAGCGGTCATTCTTAGCGGCATTTGTGCACACTGGCTCGTGGTGATGGCTGGGTCTCCCTATGTAGCAGTGAAAGCGCATCTGTCCTTTTTAAAGAAAGTCCAAGAGGGCAGTTCTGTGCCTGTTGGGACTTCGTTTGAGCAGTGGGTGGGGGAAGGCAGTGGGAGGTTTCACCCTTTCCTTGGTAAATGTAGGTAATTACCAATAAAAATAATTGTAAACTTAAAATTCTTGCACTTATTTTACTAGTAACAATAAAACTTCCATTTGTGGAGAAATTGAAATTTCTCTTAGTATATTGATGCTTAAGCGTGATTGAATTTCATAAAAGTACCAAGTAAATCCACTTGATCAGCCTTTAAAAATGGACTTCATGAGACCTTGGAGGCCATATGAGACCATAACTCGTAATACCGTTGACATGTCATTTGGCTTCGTGTATATATGTGGGAAACGTTCCTATGACAAAAGTGTGCACGAACTTGCCAGTTGCTGGCATGTGAGAGTGCTGATTCTTCCGCACCTGACGGGCCTGCCGGGCTTGCTGGGCTCTCAGCCCACTGACATGGGAAGACTTAATCCAACCTCCAGCTGCCATATGTGACTGGATGCTTCTCTTCACTTCTAAAGACAAAGTACCAGGAAAGGGTACTGCTCATATAGGCTTTTTTCTCCAGTGTAATTGGGAAGTGGATTCTAGTTTATATTATGTGTTTATTGTTACCTGAATTATGTTTTGTTTTCAGAAGCAAAGAAGAAGATAATTGGTCACCTCCTCCTGTGAAAATCCGGCTGATTTCTCCTTTGGCAAGCCCAGTGGATGGAGTCCAGAGCAAGCCTCGAAAAGCGACAGCAGTAGCGGGAAGAGCTCCAGGAAGGGGCAGGAAGAAGCTGTCTTCCTTTCCAAAGCAAGTTTTACGCAGAAAAATGCTATAATTTTTTTTTCAAGTTTTTAATGAACACCAATTTGTAAAATCATCCGAATTGTGTGGACTATTAAAAATCATCTAATTTGGAAGAAAATAATTTGTATAAATTACTGTAAATTTTTGTAAACAGAAGGTCTTCAATAAGTATAATAACTCCATTAAGGAGTGTGATTCTTTTAGTCTGGGCAGTTTTTCTATTTTATATTAAGACTTCATACATTTATATAATATGTAAATACGGCTTATTACTGGAATGTTAAATAAAGTGTATACTTCATGGTAGTTTGTGTCTGTTAGATTTTTGAGAGGGGATTTCTGTTTTAATAATGATTTTTTAATGCTAGTAGGCATTGGTCCCATTTTCTTTTGCTACAGTTAAAGGTATTAGACCAGCCTTAAAATGAAGATGATTGAAGAACTGATTTTTTTTTAAAGTTGCTATTTTATAATTTATGCACTTTGCTCCTATGATTGAGATTTCTAATCATAAAATGTACATATATATATTTTTGCCTGTTACTATGTTGAAATTGAATTATGGGCATGTAATTTTGCCGCATTTTGTAGTTGAACAAATTTTGTATATTCTACCTCAAATGAGTCCTTTTCCAAGCAATGCATTGGTTAAATACAATGTTGGCATTTCTTGTTCAGCAAGCTTAAAGGCTCTTTACCTTTATGGTCTCTTCATTTTTCAGAGACTATTATCCAGATTAGAGTGACCGGTTCACTGCTCACTAGCCTCTTGGAAAGGTTTGAGAGGAAGGGAAATGTCGAACAAATCTGTTTCATGGTTGCTCGGTACACCTCGTGTGTGCCTAGTCTCGCTAGAATGAGAAGTCTGAACAAATTTTATTATATTCTTGCTGTGAAGGAGCTTGCTATAAAAAAAATCACAGAAATCCCTTAATATTCAGGTTTGAAAACTGACGCATTTTCATAGGACCTCAGGCACAGACTATTGAGGATGGGGAACGAGTGTGAGGTGGGAAGGGAAAAGAAACAAGACACTTGTCTGCAGTACGACTGTGTGCAATTCAGTGGGGACGCTTGATGTAGCCTGTGAAACTCATCCCTAAGTAAGTGCTGTAGAATAATTTATAACGTCATTGGATAGCGTGTAACGAATGGACCATTAATAATTGATTGTCTAGAAACAAACTGCTTGTGTTGGCTAAGCTTGTAATGTGTTAGTATGAAGCAGAAGCACTGTGCTTTCCACCTTATTTTTCTACCAAATAAATACCACAAGAGCTGGGAAAATGACGACACCTCTGCCGAGTACTGACGGTGTGCGGGTGGCTGTGCGCGTGCGGCCTTTCAGTCAGGCTAGTGATGAATGCGATGCCGCCTGGTTGAAACTCTGACTAGATCTTGCATTTTATTCCTTGTTCTAATGATCGTTATCAAACGTGTATTCAAGCTGCTTGTCATTGATGGAACATTAAACTTCTTTAAATGAACTTGTTAAACGAGTAATTTAACGATCGCAACATAATTAGTGAACACGTAACCTCATTCCTTTGCACAAGTAGCTCAATAAAAAAATAATTGAGAGAAACGTACTGCAAGTTAGTTTTTTTAAACCAGTGCGGGTTGGTGAATACAGATGCATGCTCTTTTTAACAAATGTACTTTTCCCCCCAACTGCTCCTTCAGCTGTGTTGCTCCTACAATGTAGGATAAAAGAGAAGGGACACTTGTCCTGGGACCCTGTAGAAATCTCTAATTACCAAGGCATTAGTTACAAATTTTACGATAATTGACTGCTGTGGGTCAAACGCAGTCCTGGAGAAACGGTGCAAAGCAGTTTGCAGTCTCATTACGTAAGTAATTGGTGACGGAACGTACCACAGTGGTGAGGCAAACAGCTCCCAGAGATGGATCAGGTCTATTTCATTCTGCCTGGCTCGGTCATGAAGATTCTGGAGATGGAGACATTCACATGACCCAAGGGCCAAGTGAGATTCGGACAAGGATATGCCAGACGGAATGACGAGCAAGGGGTGTATCGGTCCTGAATGGCGTACAGTGAGTGTAATGGAGACCATACGTGAGGTCTTCCTTCCCATTTGGACCTTGTTCAACCTGATGCTCTCCTCTCTGGCCCATTAGTATTCAAGATTGTTTTGCACGTTTTCTGTCCGTGTCCGTGATTTCCGCCCCCTAGCATTCATCTGTATCACAGCTACCAGGTGACTTGTCACAGGATAACTTTCTATGCCTAACTGGACTTCAAGTGCAGGGGCTCATGGGGACTTCTACAGAGGCATGGCTTTTCAGGCACCCAATTGATAAAAATAAAGGATTTTGTATGCAGCTTAATGTCTTAGCCAAGAAAAAGGAGGAAATAAAGCCATTTTATAACCTAACCCGTCATAAGGCTAAAGGTAGTCCAGGGGTATTTTTCACTGGCCTTTAATACTGTTAGGGTAACTACAAGTTTTGAACAGGATGTAGAAAGTAGACACCTTAATTACATGGCTCTTAGGACCCCTCATCAAACAGATGGCATTTGATCATGTTCCACCACCAGTGTGGGCTAGCTTATACTAGAACAGTAGCAAGGAGGAGAGCGGGCCAACTCGAGAGGTGACAAGGGTGGATGGTTCTGGGCATGCCTGGGCAACTGGTGTCCCTCGGGAGGGGGGATCTCTGACTCTCTGACTTCCAGTCTTTATCCTCATGGTGGGGTCGGAGCACCAGCTTGGTGAGACTGACTGTGTTTGAAGATACAGCACTTTCTCAGGAGCCCTTGAAGTTAGATGAGCTTGGGGTCAAGACTTGGCTTTCTCACCCACTATGTGACCTTAAAGGTTTTAAGCTCTTTGAGCCATGGTTTCCTTCCATACAAAATGGAGATGTTAACTTAGGAGGCTTACTGTCACAAAATTAGATGAAATAATTGTTAATCAACACAGTGCCTGACAAGTAGTCTTGATATTAGCCACTATAACTTTTTCTTATTTGAGAGAGACCAAGACAATATTGGGGGGTGGGGGTGTGTGTGTGCAGAAAGAGTCAAGCAGACTCTGCACTGAGCGCTAAGCTCAGTCTCACAGCACCAAGATCAATCCCGTAACACCAAGATCATGACCAGAGCCAAAACCAAGAGTCAGACACCCAACTGGCTGAGCCACTAGGTGCCCCTGCTGAAATCTTTTATATATGGTTTCATTGAGACAGTTCACCTACTATAGGGCTCCCTCACTTAAAGTGTACAATTCAGCGATCTCTAGCATATTCACAGATAGGTGCAGCTACCAGCAGTTTCAGAACTAAAATGTTTATGACCTCAAGAATCGGTCACTTGGCTTCCTCATCCTTGTCCCTCTGGTTCTCAGCAGCATTAGTCAGTCTATATCCTGTTCTGTGCAGGTCCTGTGAATGCGATTAGTCTTTTGTGACTGGCTTCTTCGACGTGGCATAAGGTCTTCAGGGTCCATCCACGTTGTAGCACACACCAAAATTCCATTTCTTTGTGGGTGGATACTATCCCATTGTATAGATGGACACATTTCGTTTTAATCCACTCCTCAGTGGATGTTTGAGTCGTGTTGGCTTTCTCCACAGCCTTACTTTGGTTTCTGCGAGAAATAATGTTGCCATAGACACTCGTGTGTAAGCTTTTGTGTGGACACACGCTTTTATTCCTCTTGGGTTTACACCCAGGTATGGAATTGCTGAGTCATACAGTAACCAGTTTCATCATTGGAGGAACTGACTTTTCCAAAGCTAGCTGTACCGTCTTGTGCTCCCCACAGCCAGTGTACGAGGGTTCCACTTTCTCCAATCCGATCCAGCTACCTGACTATCCTAGCCTTTCTGGGTGTGACGTGGTGCCTTGTGGTTTTGAGTTGCAGTTCCCTGATGACTAAGGATGTCAAGTATCTTTTCATATTGTTGTCCATGAGTGTATCCTCCTCAAATGTCTCTTCAGATCTCTTACTCATTTTTAAATCGGATTAACTTTTTACATTGAGCTGTTCTTCTGGATACAATTCCTTATCAGATAATATGATTTGCAAATTTTCTCTCATTCTGGGGGCTGTCTTTTCACTTTCTTGATGGTGTCCTTTAAAGCACAATCATTTCTAATTTTGATGAAGTCTTTCTTTTTTTTTGTTTTTGGAATTCATGCTTTTGGTGTCGTTAGACTCTGCCCAATCCAAGATCATGACTATTTACTCCAATGTTTTCTTCTGTACTGATATCTCTTACCTTTAGGTCTTTGTTCCATTTTTTAAAAATTTTATTTATTTATTTGAGATAGAAGCACCCAAGCAGGGGAAGTGGCAGAGGCAGAGGGAGAAGCAGACTCCACACTAATCAGGGAGCCCAATGCAGGCTCGATCCCAGGATTCTGGGATCATGACCTGAGCCAAAGGCGGATGCTTAACTGACTGAGCCACCCAAGCATCTCTCTTTGGTCCATTTGGTGTTAATTTTTGCATAAGGTGTGAGGCAAGAGTCCAAGTTCATTGCTTTTGCATGTCGCTATCAAGTTTTTCTAGGACCGCTTCTTGCAAAAGCCCATCTTTCCCCATTTTTGGCAGTCTTGTTGAAAATCAGTTGGCCATGGAGGCCTGGGATGATTTCTAGACTCTCCATTTCATTACATACATCTGTATGCCTATCGCTGTGCCCGTATCATGCTGCCTTGGTCACTGTTTAGTTTGTACTAAGTTGTGAGACTGGGAATTGTGAATCCTACTGTGTTCTTTCTCAAGATGGTTTTGGCTCTTCTGGGTGCCTTCCAGTTCCATGGAAATTTTACTATCAGCTTGTCAATTTCTACAGAGAATCAGGTAGGATTCTGATAGAGATTTCACTGAATTTGTATGTCAGCTTGCTGAGTTACCATCTTAAAATGCTAAGTCTTCTCATCTATGAACGTGGGGTCTTTCCAATTTTTAGATCATCTTTAGTTTCACTCAACAATGTTTTGTAGTATTCAGAAGATATGTTTTGTACTTCTTTTGTTAAGTATTCCCAAGTGTTTTGTTCCTTTTGATACTACTAGAAATGGAATTTTTCCATTTCATTCTTAGATTCTTCAAGTGTATAGAATTGATTTTTGTGTATTGATCTTGTATTTTACAACCTTACTGAACTAATTAGTTCTAATAGTTTTTTTGGAGAGTTCCTTAGGATTTTCTTTAAACATGGTTTCCTTTGGTTCCATGTGCTTATAATGCTCACAGTCTGGCATCTGGTCAGTGAGAGATAGTTTCTGTTGCCTGCCATTTTCCCAATGTATGGGTCTTACTCTCCTGTTTCTTTGCATATCTCATCATTTTTTAATGGAAACCTGACACGAGATAATATGGTGTAGCAAATTTGGGAACTGATTCTCCCACCCACTGTAAGTAGCTTGTTACTGTAGCTTATTTGTTGGGTGACTGGTTGGACTATTGTAGTGAAGTCCATCCCTCACCTCAGGAGGGCACAGCTTTGGGTATGCCCTGGACACCCTGGGTGACACCAGTTTGGGTTGGGCTCATTCCTCTCTTGACATCAAACTGTTTGACTCCACGGACTGCCGGCTGACTGCTCTGTTGTCAGCAATTCCTGGAGGCATAAATTACTCTGCTAACTAATGCAATCAAATTCAGGTACCTTTAAAAGGAATAGTCTCTGAGATCACTGACTGATATTTTTCAGGACTCCAGGTGGGTCCGTCCAGCTATGGTATTTCCCAGCCACACCCCTCCACCCCCTCTTGCCCCCGCAAATTCTGCAAACTAGAGGGCCTATAATTTAATCCTTATCAAAGCAAACCTCCTCCCAATTCCCTTTCATCACAACTTCCGTTCTCGAGTATGCCCTTAGGATCCAGCTTCTCTAAGAGGGCAAATGAAGTCAGTGACTTTGAGAGGACAGGAGCTGCTATCTCCCTGAGCAGAATGTCTACACCCTGGCTCCAGACTTGGGGGTGGGGACAATGGCAAGTTGCTGTTTTAGAAGCCCAGCACTTGTTGACTGTGGAACAGCTGCTTGAGATCCTCTCAGCTTCTCTGTCCTAGCATGGACCTACCACCTCGGGGGCTGGGGCAAGGACGGCCAGTGCCCTAGTGTCCTCAGCGGGCTGATCCAAAGTAGAGCCTCTGTAGCACACCGGCTACAAGAAGGAGTCCCACCTCTCACCAAGTCTCTCCCAGGACTTAGCCTCGGCAACATGCAGATGGCGGTAGGATGTGAAATGCTGATATCCTGCTCCTGCCAAGAAGAAAGCCCTCCACCTGCAATCTGGGGAGAGAGGCAGCCTTGTGGTGGTGGCTCCAGCAGTCTGGGGGAGTCTCCGCCTGGCTGAGCTGGCGGGAGAGAGGAAGGGAATGGGCTGGCTTCAGATACCAGACTCCCCTTTCTTTGTAACTGTGCTACACTTCCTTGAGTAGATGTTTTGTCATTGGCCATCTGCCCTGAGGACCGTTTCCAGGGTCTTGAAATGGTTGTTTTTCCTTTTTCATGAATAATTTTCACTCGTTTCACTGGGGAGTGAAACAGGGAAGCTCTCTGTTCTGTAGTCATTGCTGTTAGCATAGCTGGGTGTTAGGCTGGTCTCAGAAAATTAACATCACTAGAGACCAGCCTTTCAACAATTCTGAGGGGTTTAGAGACACTGCTTATCATAACCACTGCTAAGAATAACAGAGAACAAAATGAGTAACTGGTAAGTGCCCGGCTTAATTCCTCAGGAGGTATGTATCAAGACTTGCCAAACAACTTGGATGACAAAGAAAAACTACAATGATGAACTCTGAATTTGTAATTTGGCTATAGAGAGAGAAGAACTCTGGGAGCAAATGTGTGATTTCCATGCATTCCGGGACCACCACAACCATACAAGACCCTAAGAACCCAGAACATAGGAAGACATTTACTTTTGACCTGGCATATTGGTCTCATGATGGATTTCAAAAGGACCAAGATGGTGTGTTTATTTCAGCTGATCCTAGCAGTCAATTTGCAAGCCAGGTAACTCGCTTCAGAACACAACTTCAAAGGAAAGGTGGTTTGTTTTGTTTTCTTTTTATAAATAAAGTATTAATGGTAGAACAGTATAATTTTTTAATGCAAGCATGCTCTGGTATATACTTCCATTTGAAAGTTTGATTTTAATTTTTTTCCTTTTTCATGCTAAACATGAGGTCCCAAAGTACAGCTATTGCCTAAATAATTTTTAGGAACTCAGTCAGTTGAATTGTAGTATGTTGTCATATTTTGAACAAGAAGTGTCAGTCAACTCAATTATATCTTGCCTCTCTGAAATAAGAAAATAAGCAATATTTGTGATACACTCAGCATTTGAGAATTCTTGTTTTATCAAGTATTTCACATGTGCCAAACATTATTCCATCTTGGGGAGTTAGATAGGCAAGTGCATTCGAAATGTTAGATGTTCTGGGATAAGAACATGGGATATGATGGGGTAACAATGGAGAAGAGGTCATTTCAATCTGGACAAAGCTCATTGAGTTTCTAGGATCTGGGTGTGTGTAGTTTCGATCAAATTTAGAAAAGTTTCAACCATCATTTTTTTCAAATATCCTTTACCCTGCTCCACCTTATTCCTTCTGTGATTCCAACCAAGCTTGTCCACAGGTCACTGAGGCTCTGTTCATTTCCCCCTAATCTTTTCTCTCTACTCTTGTCTGCCTATTTGTCTTTCAAACTCAGCTGAAAACTCACAGCTTTTATTAAACCACTCGTGAAAATACCCCCTGTCGAATACTTCTGTCCTCACAAACTCCCTAAAAGGATCTCATGGACCCTGGAATGCTCTTGAGAACTGCCATCCCAGAGTAATCAATTAAAAAAAATCAAATAAAATTTTGTAACTAGTCAGTCAATTGTGGGAAAATGGGATTAGGAAGCGTTCAATCCAAAACACAGCAGGAAAAGAGGGGGATAGTAAAAAGGAGATGGAAGAAGTAGAACACAAATAGTGATCAGGTAAACTCAATGCCAGCCACATCACTTATTACAGCAAATGTAAACAGACATGCCAATTACAAGTCAGGAATGATTAGATTTCATAGGGAAAATGGGATCCAACTCTGATTAGAGAAACCCCATTTTACATTATCATGTAAAAATTAAGAAAAAGAAAACTATAGAGGCCATGTTTACATCACATAAAGTAATTTCACCAGAAGAAACATTCCATAATGATAATCAATTTATTAAGGAAACATACCATCCTAAAGGGGTATGTTCCTAATAATAGAGCTTCAAAGTACATGAAGGAGAAACTGCTAGAAATTGAGGGAGAAACAAACAAATCTACAACTGTCATTAGTGATTTCATCAATCCTCTTTGAGTAATGGATAGAACAAATAACCCGAAATCAGTACTATATAGAAGACCAGATCAACACCATCAGCCTAACTGGCCATTATGTATTAGAGAACTCCTTTGCTACCCACCACCCAACCACAGCACCACACATTCTTTACACCTGAACACAAAACTTCCACTACAACAGACCATATTCCAGGTCATAGTCTCAATATCGTGAGATAACTGAAATCATACAAAGTACATTCTCTGTCCACCAAACTAGAAAGAAATGAAAGATACAGGGAAAATCTACAAATATTTGGAAATAACAGACTTCTAAATAATCCATAAACAAAATTAGCAAATACTCTGAATAAGAAATTTAGGGGTGCGTGGGTGGCTCAATTGGTTAAGTGTCTGCCTTTGGCTTGGGTCATGATCTCGAGGTCCTGGGATCGAGCCCCACATCAGGTTCCCTGCTCAACAGGGAGTCTACTTCTCCCTCTTCCTTTCCTCTCCCCCATACTCTCGCTCTCAAATAAATAAATAAAATCTTAAAAGCAAAAATTTAAAAATTTTTCAAAATTTGTGGGCCACAGCTCAAGGAGAGGCTTAGAGAAATTATATAGCATTACGTTATTAGAGAAGCACAATCTCAAGTCAACATTCTAGTCTTCCACCTAAGAATTCAGAAAGGAAAGAGCAAATTAAATACAAAGCAAGCAGAGGAAGAAATAAGAATGAGCAGTAATTAATGCCAAACAGTAAAATAATAGGAAAACCGATGAAACTCAAAGCTAATTCTCTCAAAAGTTCAGTGAAATTGAACCTTTAGCCAAACCAATCAGGAAAAAAGATACAAAGTACCAAGATGAGAAATGAGTCATCATGGCAGATTTTATAGACATGTAAAAAGGAAGGGAATATTATGAAAAACTTATTGCCAATAAATTCAACAAGTTAGATGAAATGACACAAGCCACTGAAGGTCACACAAAAACAGATAATTGAACTAGCCTGAAAGGAACTGAATTTATAGTTAAAAACCTCACAAAGAAAACTCTATGTCCAGATGCCTTTGCTGTGAATTCTACTGAAGTAAGAAATAATGAGAATTCTTAAAACAAAACAAAACAAAATCCTAGAGCTGACAGAAGAAGGAACATTCATTTTTTGAGGACAATATTACACCAAAACCAGCCAAAGTTTATGAAAACACTACAGGCCAATATCTATCATGAACATAGATACAAAAATTAACAAAATTTCAGCAAATAGAATCTAAAATATTTTAAACAATACATTTCTATCAAGTAGGACTTTACTGGGAATGTAAGATTGGCTTAATATTTGAGGATCAATGTAACTCATCATATGATCATAATCCCGGAGGGCAATATTTGGTCAGATGCAGAAAAAACATTCGACAAAACCCAATCAAAATTAAAACTCTCAGTAAACGTAAAATAGGAGGGAACTTCCTGGAAATAATCTTCCCGGACATAATCTTCCCGGAAATACACAGGTAATACCATATTTGATGCTGAAACACTGAATGTGCTCCCCTAAGACTGGGGACAAGGCAAGGAGGACCAATCTCATCCTTTCTATACAACATTTACTGCAGGTCCTAGCCATGGCAAGTAGGTAATAAATAGGAAATTAGTGATAGGCAAATTAAAAAAGGAATAAGTAAAACTATTTTTAGATGACATCATTATCTATGTAAAAAGTCCTAAGAAATCAACAACAACAAAAAGGGCTACTACAGTTCATAAGTTTGTTTAGCAAAGCCAATATACAAAAATCAATAGTATTTCTCCATACTAGCAGTGAACAACTAGAGAGTGAAACTGTAAAATATTTACAATAACACCAAAAATATGAAATACTTTAAGAATAACTTTAACAAAATAGGCAAAAACTGTCCACTATAAAACATTACTGAAAGGAAGACAGACATGCATTAGAAGACTCAATATTATTAAGAAATCAAAATGAGCGGGTCGCCTGGGTGGCTCAGTGGGTTAAGCCTCTGCCTTCAGGTCATGATCCCAGTGTCCTGGGATTGAGCCCCATAGCGGGCTCCCTGCTTGGTGGGAAGCCTGCTTCTCCCTCTCCCACTCCCCCTGCTTGTATTCCCTCTCTAGCTATGTCTCTCTCTGTCAAATAAAAAAATAAAATCTTTAAAAAAAAAAAAAAAGAAATCAAAATGAGCAATCAATTCAAAGCAATCCTATCCCAAACCCCAGCAATAAGGTTTTGAAGCAACTGATAAGCTATTTCAATAATTTACATGGAATGGTAAGGGACTTAGAATAGCCAGAATTATTATTTTTTTGAAGATTTTATTTATTTATTTACTTACTTACTTACTTACTTACTTACTTATTTGAGACTGAAAAAGTGAGGAGGGGAGCAGAGAGAGGAACAAGTAGACTCCATAGACTGAGCACAGAACCCAGTGTGGGGTTCCATCCCTTGACCCTGAGATCATGACCTGAGCCAAAATCAAGAGCCAGATGCTCAACTGACTGAGCCACCCAGGCCAAAATTAATTTGAAGGACCGTGAAACCTGAATAATTTAAAACCCACTAGAGAGCTTCAGTTGTCAACACAGAGTGGTACTGGCTGAGAGAGAGAGATAACAGATCAATGGAACAGAAAAAAGTATCTAGAAATCGATCTTCATATATTGTCATTTTTTTATGAGGATGCTCTAATGGGTTGAATAGTGTTCCCCCCCAATCTAGATCCACTCAATACCTTAGAATGTGACCTTATTTGTAAATAAGATGTTTGCAGAAGTAATTAGGCCATAGTGGATTACAGTGGACCCAAAATCCAATTCTTCTCTGATGAGGGAAATTTGAACACAAAGACACACAGGGAGAATGCCACGTGACTTTGAAGGTTGGTGGAATGATATAGCTATGAGCCAAGGAATGCCAAGGAATGCTGGGAATCACCCGAAGCTGGGAAGAGGTAAGGAAGGATTCTTTCCTAGAGCCTTCAGAGAGAGCATGGCCTTGCCAGCACCTTGATTTCGGACTTTCAGCCTTTGGAATCATGAGAGTATAATTTTCTATTGTTTTTAGTCACCTGTTTTGTGGTAATTTATTATGGCAGCCCTAGCAAACTAATACAGGTGACAAACTTCTTCAAAATTAAAGCCTTCCAACAAATGATGCTGGAGATATTAGATATCCATGTGGAAAAGTATGACTTTCTTATTCTTTCCTCACACCATATAAAAATGAACTCAGAATGGATCAGAGACCTGTTAGAGCTAAAATTATAAAGCTTCTAAAGGAAAGGAGAAAATGTCTGTGATCTCAGATTTGAAAGATATCTTAGGACACAATCTTAAAACATATTTTTAAGGTCAAGTATAATTATGATAAAAGAAAATAATAAATGAGACTCATTTGAAAAAAGCTTTTGCTCTTTAAGATATCCCAATAAGAGCATGAAAAGGCAAGCTACAAAGAAAGAAAATAGTTACAAGACAGATAAAATATCCAAAATATATAATGAGAACATAAGCAGCAACCTCTTTGACCTCAGCCATAGCAACTTCTTCCTAGGCACATCGCCAAAGGCAAGGGGAGCAAGGGCAAAAATGAACTATTGTAACTTCATGAACTATTATAACTTCATCGAGATCAAAAGTTTTTGCACAGCAAAGGAAAC